TCGTACGTACTATACTGTAACCCCTACCCCCCTACCCCCCCCCCCCCTATCTACTAAAGTCCATACTTAAAGATGGATTATAGATCTTTATTTCTTAAGAGATTCATGATCTAGGCCATGATTATCTTAGAATATTAAAAATAAATAAATTTTAAATTTAGAAGTTTTTTTTTAATTCTTTTGCACCATTTATTTGGGTGCCTTTTTTTAACATCCATCTTACGATAGATGTTTGATGGGTCTGGGAACGCCTGTGTCTCCTCCCCTGACTCACAAAAAACCTTTTCCTAATACAACTAAAGTTTGTCACACATGGGAGACCTTTCTAATAGTTGGCTGGATTCTCCATGTGCAGGAGTATGCCTGGATTAGTAATGGATGTAGCAGATAAAATGTCACCTGTGAAGGAAGAGGGTATGGACCATAAGGTGGTTGGTTCATCTGGAAATAAATCACTAAGGAGCCCTTTGAGCCCAAGAAGTCCGCGAATTGACGCCCTCGACCTACCAATGGAAGGAACACCCACACATGAATGCATGATTGATACCTCAATTGAACAATTGTATGATAACGTGTGTCAGATGCGGAGTTCTGGTGACCAATCACCATCGAGGCAAAGTTTTGGAGATGGATCCGATGGTAATGAGTCAAGAATCGATTCGGAGTTGGGGCACCTTGTTGGGGTAGAGATTAGGGAAGAAGAAGGGGAGAACATTGAAGAAGAAACCAAGAAATTAGAGAAATTGAAAACAGAAAATGGGTCTATTTATGATCAGAAAGAAAATGGGTCTATTATTGGTCAGAAAGAAAATGGTTCTACTAGCAAAAAGTCTGGAAAAGAGGAGAAAATGAGATCAGGTTCATCTACGCCCAGTATGAAGATCCAGCCTAAGAAACCTTCCCAGTTAGTTTTGAAGAACAGTCCTAAGAGCAGTAAAACTTCTAGTCGGGAAAATAATGTTACCAATGAGAATGTAGATAGCAAACAACTAAATGAAGTCAGTACATCTCAGAAGATTTCCTTTAACCCAGATAAAACTCCAAGGAAAGTGAACAGCCCAAGAACTGGTCCTCCCAAGAAACAGAGGCCTTCTTCCTTGGGTTCCTCAAAGCATCGGTATAACATTGTGGAAGCTTCAGACTTGGGCTTGGATAATCCAGATCTTGGACCCTTTTTACTTAAATATGCAAGGGATTTGATATCTTCTGGAGATAACCCTCAAAAGGCTCTAGAATATGCTCAAAGAGCTGCAAAATCATTCGAGAAGTGTGCGGATGGAAAACCCAGCTTAGAGCTGGTCATGAGTCTTCATGTTTTAGCTGCAATTCATTGCAACTTAGGGCAATATGATCAAGCTATCCCAGTTCTTGAGCACTCCATTAAGATCCCTGTCCTAGATGAAGGCCAAGAGCATGCTCTTGCCATGTTTTCAGGGTACATGCAATTGGGTGATACATATGCTATGATGGGACAACTTGAAAACTCTATAGGTTGTTATACTACTGGCCTTGAAGTGCAGAAACAGGTCTTAGGGGAAACTGATCCACGAGTAGGGGAAACTTGTAGGTACTTAGCTGAAGCCCACGTTCAAGCTTTGCAGTTTGATGAAGCCAAGAATTTTTGTCAGTTAGCTCTCGATATCCATAAAGAATGCAGCGCGCCGGCTTCTCTAGGAGAAGCCTCGGATAGGAGGCTGATGGGTCTTATATGTGATGCAAAGGGGGATTATGAAGGGGCTTTGGAGCACTTGGTTTTGGCAAGCATGGCCATGATGTCCAATGGCCAAGAAAATGAGGTGGCTTCAATAGATTGCAGTATTGGTGATACCTATTTGTCTCTAGCTCGTTTTGATGAGGCTGTCTTTTCATACCAAAAAGCACTTACTGTGTTTAAATCAATCAAGGGTGAGAACCACCCTTCTGTTGCTTCTGTATTTGTTCGCCTTGCCGATCTTTATAACAGGACAGGCAAACTAAGAGAGTCCAAGTCTTACTGTGAAAATGCTTTAAGAATTTATAGTAAGCCCATTGCTGGAAACCCAATGGAGGAAATAGCAAGTGGGCTTACTGAGGTTTCTGCCATCTATGAAGCTATGAACGAGCCTGAGGAAGCCCTTAAGCTCTTACAAAGAGCTCTGAAGTTGTTGGAGGATTCTCCTGGTCAGCAAAGTGCAGTTGCTGGGATAGAGGCCCAAATGGGGGTGATGTACTATATGATGGGGAATTATGGGGAATCTTATATTTCTTTTAAGAATGCAGTGGAGAAACTTCGGGCTAGTGGAGAGAAGCGATCAGCTTTTCTTGGCATTGTATTGAACCAAATGGGGCTGGCTTGTGTGCAGCGTTATGCCATAAATGAGGCTATGGTTTTGTTTGAAGAGGCTCGAGCTGTGCTAGAGCAGGAATATGGTCCCTATCACCCTGACACTCTTGGAGTGTATAGCAATCTTGCTGGAACATATGATGCAATGGGCAGGTATGTGTTTTTTGCTTTGAACATGTTCTATTTTTCTTTTGAAGGAAGAAGTTGTGAATATTTCCATGTGTTAGTGTTTTCATATCATACATCTTAGCACATACTGAAAACTTTCTCTTGTCACCCTATGCTTATTAGCTTTTAAAAGATGTCATATTATCACGTTTTGGAATTTCCATGAAATTAGAATGGTGTATCTCCTACCTAGTGCTGTTTGCTTCTCTAGGAATATTCCGATTTCTCACGGTTAAACACTGTTACCTGGTGCCATTGGATTTCTGGGTACTGGGTAATTCAGTTTATGGTGATAGGGCCTTTTTCGATGAATCACGAAAAACATTTAATTTTGTTGTAACACAGAATTGTGGGAACTGTTCCACAGCCTTTTTGTTTGCTGTCTCTTTCAAGCCTTGATTGTTTAAAAAGCTCTGGAAAGAAGGCCCTAATTGCATTCTCTTTCATCTAAAAAAAGTAGTTTTTGACTTTTGTCACATTTATTACTAGTCAAAATAGAGCTCGGGTGTACACACACGCACCTCTAAGATCTCAACTGCCGCAATTACTGTAGGAACAACCGAGTGAGCGATCACAGTCATAAACTAACTAAATGTCTTTTTCTCTTCTCTATCAAATAAAAGAATCTCTCATGTCAGCTTTCTATGTCACAAATTGAATAACCTTAGAATCTGCCCTTCCTATATGTTGTACGGGTTGAGTTTTAACTGGCCGCCACAAGTTCAAAGTCATCATTCATTTAATTAGTCTTAATTTAGGTTTAATTTATGTTCTGCGTCCTAGTACTATCTATGCTTTTTAATTCACACGCTTATTAGTGGTGGATCAATGGCTCAATGCTTATCTTGTTAGAAGAATAGTGCTTTGGTCCTTATACTATATTGCTAAAGATGGGTTCGGAGGGTGTCCTGTGACAGATTTATGTTCCCAAATCCCCTGCCTAAATGCCTTAATTCCATAAGAAAAAGATCTCTGCTGTAAGGTACTTTACATTTTCTCATGCCCTAATCAAAAAGTAAGAAGTTAGACATGCATAATACCAATGAATTTTAAATAGTTACATATTTTTGAAAATTTACTGCCATTAAATTCGTTTCTTAAAAATCTGGCTTTTATATTAGGTATTTTGCTTCATGCTGGGTTTGAATGTTAGTGACTATTGGAAATGATAAATTAGAGAGATATATTTATATTAATATTTGTATTCTTGCATGATCAAAAGAGTAGAGACATAATAATTTAGAATGTTTGGATCAGTGGCAGCATCCTGTGATTGCTTGAGGTAAACTGAACAAGTTTTCTTGAGTTGAGTCTGGATATGGACAAATGGTTCCATGTCCTCTCTGCCCAACTATTTCACGAAACTAGCTGGATCATTGAAAAAAGAAGCACCACATTTATCCAAACTAAACCATATTGTTTCTCATATTATTCAGTCAATGTTGGTTATAGTAATCTTCTTCTTTTTTTTCTTAGTTAGATTTATGAGAATAGTAATTGGTATGCCAAACTTTAGTAAGGTTGCTAATTTTTTAACCTACATTGTATGTTCTATATAATGAAATGAGGGCTCTGGAAGTCTTATATTTTTTGGACAGTATGTGTTATCCTCGTACTAAGGCTGTTATGAATGTTACTTTTTCCCAATATTGTTAAATAAGAATACAAGGCCTGAGGAGTTAATAATTAGATGAATATAGATTCCATATATATTGACTGAGCTAATCCTCTCATTGAGGTGCCTTGGTCCTACATATCATGAATGAATGGTCTTCTTGACACTTAATGTGTGAAAATGAATTTCCAGAGGTTCCCGCCATGTTTAAATTAGTCGTGGATGGCCATAAATTATGATTCTTGGGTTCAATTAGATTGTTATTTTATTTGATAAGTAGCCTATTAAATGCCACCTATCTATCAAATGCTCCTTATTTTCACCAATTTAGTTACAATGGCATGTGTTCTTCTGGACCCATTACTTTCATGAGGATCGCTAATTTATTCATTCGTGTCTTGAAAAGAAAATGGTTCACGCTTGCATCACCATCATCATCATAGCAGTGAGAAACAAGGAAAAAGGTTCATCTGTGTCTTTTGGTAATTACAACAGGTTAGAAGATGCAATTGAGATACTGGAATATGTTCTCGGAATAAGGGAAGAGAAACTTGGGACTGCACATCCTGATGTAGATGAAGAAAAGAGGAGGTTGGCCGAGCTCCTAAGAGAAGCAGGAAGAGTAAGAAGCAGGAAAGCAAAATCCCTTGAAACTCTTTTGGTTTCGAACTCTCAGGCAATCAAACCAGCTGAGGTGGTGATGCAGGTATGAAGATATGGAGGCATTTTTTATTGTTATTTTATTCTATGTATAAATATTGTGAAATTTAAAGATTTGGGTGGTGAGTGTGTTCATTTTACCACGTAAGGGGCATTGCATGTAACTGTTGTTCCTCTGTAGCATATTCTTTTATGAGGGACCTTTATCATATGATTTTCAGAGAGTAATGAGAATAGAAAAGGAGTAGAAGATCATGGTCACTGATTTTTGTTGTTTCTTCATGCTGTTGCAAACTTGGAAATATGCAATATTTACATGGTGGAAATCTTATGCCCGTGCATTTATCATCATAAACTGGGAACTCTATGTTTGTGTTCGTTATTTCGAGTTACCAATGTCCATGGAGAGAGAGAGACAGAGAGAGAGAGAGAGAGAGAGAGAGAGAGAGAGTA